TAAAATGGGTGGCAAAAAAGTTACTCGGTTTTCTTCTGTCCATCTTGACTTCAATGTGACCTGTGAGTTTCAAATTCTCCATTTCTGATTGTATATATAAGTGTTTTTTTGTTTCCATTTTCCTTAAAATTTCTTCGTTTTTTGTTTCTATTTTCTTTAAAATTTCATTGCATGTTCAGTTCATGGTATTCACAGCATCCTTCTGTAGAACCACATTTCTATCCAAGTCTCAATTTATTTAAAAAAAAAATGAATGTTACACTGAAAAAAATCAGATAAAATACGAGAAAGATGCTGAAGATTTTATCTGATCGACGAAGAAGAAATTTGAATGACTACTTTGATATTAGGTGAATCTCTGGTCGGGCCTAGATCTTTTCAGCAGCTACTCGTAGAATAGCTTACAATCATAAAATGTTTTCATCTACTTTTCATCATTGATTTTTATATTCTATGTCCGAGTATATCGTCATGGGAACATGCTATTTTCATCATAGCATTACTTGAACCCCGATGGAACCGGAAATAACTCGTAAACCAAGCGGGTAGGTTACGTCAGTTTAAAGTTGAAATAAATTAGAGCAGGAAACCTTTCTTTATAAATCGATTTTTTAAAATGCTATGTCTATTCAGGATGTAGACGATCATGATTCTCCACATTCCTTTTCTTTATTTTATGTGAAAATCCATGACATATTTATTATCTTAGAATTGCCATGTCTTCTAAGAAATACGGTACTGTATCTCGCCCCATTACCTTTTCAACGGTTTGAAATTCAAAGTTATACTTCCATTAGGCTGCTTCCCATAGGAGGCTAAAACTCTTGTCTACCTTGTTATTTAACCCGTATCTCAGGAGAAAGATATATCTATATCTTTCTCCAGTGGTATATTTGCGAATGCAAGGACTGAATTTGAACGATGCTTTCGACGCCGGTAACCGTTATGCTTCTCACATCTTGAATTTACTGACTGAGATAAGATGAAGGCTGTTATAACATTTGTGGATTTGTTTGAGATAATGTGCTTTGAGTCAAGTGAACTGAATTAGACTCTTATTCTACGAAAAGATAAAAGTTGCTCTGTCAGCGGCAAGTGTCACTCATCAAGGATTCATTGAACATAAACCTGATGCTGGATAGATAGCGGCAGCGATATGCAAATTTAACAGCAAAAAGATGTCTAAATGTTCCAGGAATATCTCAATTGCTACACACGATGATATTAGAGATGTATTTTAACGCCCTCAACAAAGACTGTAGGCACAAAAGCTCTTTCGTAGTCTATCACCCCGCGAGATTTGCGTTGTTATCTGATTACAAACCCTACCCCCAGGTAAAATATCCCACCCAAGAAACCATGGCTGAAAGCCCATCGGCGCGTTAATGGGCCACGAACTTATTCTTTTAGGAATTAAAAAAAAACGTCTTAGCACAAAGAATCTTGTCCAGGTTTTGCCGGTTGATGGCGCCAATGACTGACAGACAAACCAAGACTAAAATGAAATACTTAAAGATAACTAAGTGAAATGGCGCTCTTTATTTACAATACAATAAGACTTTATTCAGACACACATTCGCTCTTTCAAAAAAGACGGAGAGAAATGTTAGAAGGTACCACCTCAGGCAAAAGAAGAAGAAGCAGACAGAAGCTTAGGGGTGGGGGCATGAGTTATTCTCTACCCTATAATCCATTTCCCACAGACGCAACTTCGCAGGCCTATTGCTACTCTGTCGCTACTTCCATAACAAATATGCAGACGGACTTCATTATTTAGGGCCACCAGCTCAGACCTTTGTGGCCAAGACTGAGTTGAATTACCGTCATTCCCTACCGATTCCAATAAGAAGGATGTTCCACACGGAAAGCATCATCGTAAGAATCGTTACTTTGTGGAACGGACTCCCACATGGATGCTTCCTCGAAAACTACAATCTTAACCAGTCTATGATCAACGCTTATCTATGTGTCATATCCTTGTAATCATCAATTCTTATTCCTTTCTCATATGTTCTAATGTTGTGTTTTCGCTCAAACCAGGCACAAAGGGGAGGGCAGCTTTTTTCAGTCAAACGCTTGTGACTTAAAGTTACCCTTCAGCCAGATTGTTACCCATCGAATAAAATAAACTGTATATGATTCTTAAGCTATTTTGTTTATTCTGTTGCGATGCAACTCAGACCAGACACCAGGGTGCCGTTTCTTCCAGTCAAACGCTTGTGGCTTAAAATTAACCTTTGGCTAAATCGTTATCCACGAGTGAAGAACAAAACAATTTCTAGCATTAAACTAAATATTATTCTTGGGTTGTAACTTACTACAATAATCGAGCGAAGAAGGCTTAACTAATGCGGTTGCACATTTCAGCGGTCATCTACCCTGTCCGATCTGCGAGGCCCACTTCGTTCCTTCTGTGAGCCTTTTCACGGAATGGTCAGTTTTGTAAGTAACAATTTTCTTTGTCTTGTCATCTTCGTCTAAAAAATAATTAATCTTCCTTCCGTGAATTTCTTTCAGTCTGAGCCTCTTACTCAGTACATTAAAGGTAACTTCATTTACTGATAACCATCGGTCGAAAGTAAATGTTCCGTATCGATTTTTGTAACAGGTCCCGCTGTTTTTAAATTTAACAAGACCTCAGCTGACTCATATTGCAACATCAATCACACACCTCATTCAGTAACCCCCCCTACATTAAATGGCTCTTGGGCCCTGTGAACGTCAGTAACAGAAAAAACGGAATTTAAACTTAGCCGATTCAGTTTTCCGCCATTAGTCCATACTCATGTCCTTAACAATCTGTTAGGTTCGGATAATACTGCTAATTTCGAAAGATCGAACAAATCTTGTTATTGGCTTTTTGTCTCATTCCCTTGCGTAAATAACTGATTTTTCTCTGATTCCTCTGAACGCGAAGATGAAATGTTATCCGGCCAAGACCATGTGTATTTGGACTCAAAGGAAAGTAAAAATGAGATAAGGTGTTGGGTGAGAACGCTAATCTTCAAGAAATGAACTGGAACCAATAATTAACAGCGAAGCGACTTTCGTTTATCAATACCAAATCCGATGGAGAAGAAATAGTGTCACAAGTTAGCCAATGTTGTTCTATAAATAAACGTTCTGGAAATTTTAATAGCAGCCTTCCTGCAACGCCGTTTGAAATATATGTGAAAGGTAGTCTGTAATTGGCTTGCGCACATGTGTAGACAACGCCTACACTTAAATTTGATCTCTCTCTCTCTCTCTCTCTCTCTCTCTCTCTCTCTCTCTCTTATACAACATATTGACTTATAGCATTAATTGCTCATATACGCAGTTTATTTGAGTCAATAAAGAACGTTGAACGTGAAAAATCGTTTTAAAGTGGCTGCCTTAGTTTTTATAGTGAAGGTTGTGTTTTCCTATTGTAATTTATTTTATTTATAAACGTGTCATTACACATTAGATCACGTGAATATATCTGAGGAAAATAATATAAGATGATAAAAAAATGAAGTTATATCTATCTATATCTCTGAGATGAGGTATTATGATTATTTGCATTATTTACATTAACAGAATTGTTATCATCATCTTCCTTGCTACATTCACAACGTTTCGGTCGTTGTACGCTCGTCAAGGACACATGGCCCAGTGGATAAAGACGTTGGTTAGATCCAGTATCTTCTAGACCCAAAGAATTCAATACCAGGCCACAGCAGTGGTGAACCAAAACTTAGAGAGTTGAGTTAAAGGGAAATAACTGAGACTTCCGGAAGAGACGTGGGACTAGAACAATCTACCCCGTTGGTCGAAATGAAGGGTTCGATTCGAAATTTAGATCACCTGAAATTTCACCTCACATGAACCTGTTGGCTTCTTAAAAGCAGTTTATGATTAAAAAAAATGATGTGGTAAAAATATTATCAATTTTATTATTAATTGCTCATGTTTAATTTGTATTTGCATTGTAGGTTGTTGTAATAAGTATAATTACTCACATTATACAATATTACTTCGATCAAAAGCATTAAAAAGCTTACTTTTTTTAGAATTGCAAACTGATGTCACACTAAAGGCCTTTCCATTGAAGTAATAGTATCCACGGGGGTGACAGTTTATACTTATTTTAGTATTTACCATATTATTCATATTTATTGAAATAACATAATGTATGGATATTTTATTTGTGCACGTAGCGTTATTCTTTTGGTTATTTTTTTCAAAATGTCTTCCTCACATGCATTACAAAATACGTAACGGCGATAAACCAGAATGCATCTTTTTATTTATTTACCATCAAGTCATTTGAATCATTTTTCAACAATACAGATTACGTTTTACAATGAAACACCGACATAGCTTCTCCTATCTAGTAGTGTACACAAATAATAAGCCCACCCACGCACATACTCAGAGCTTTCTGTATGCAGATGATCTCTGCATTGCATCCTAGAAGTAATCTTTCGAGGAGGTTGAGACCACACTCACCAGTGCTCTGGGCAGCCTTATCTCATAATTTAAGACCCAAATCAGTGCCTTCCTCCTACGGAACCAAGACGCTAACCGACAACTCAAGATCAACTGGTATGGAATACAGTTAGGGTACACTACCAAGCCTATCTACCTTGGAATAACTGTGGACCGGTCACTTACATACAAGGACCACATTGCAAAGATTAAAGACAAGGTCGAATCAAGAAACGAGATTCTGAAGTTTTCTAATACCAAATGGGGTGCCCTTGCTGGTACAATCAGCACTACAGTCTTTGTTACTCCACAGCAGAATATGCCTCACCATTTGTGAAGCAGATTATCACATGCAAAGAAAATCAACCCTGCCTTAAAGATCTCTTGTAGATCAATCAATAGGTGTCTCAAGCCAACCAAAGTCGATGACCTCTACTTGAGTAGTGTCATTTCTCCCCTTACCTAAGAACGACCATCCTCTCCCAACTCGAGAAGTTGAAGCAGGAAATGAAGTTGAACAGAACTTCTTGTCAAACTCTCTGCCTCAA